AAACCAGCATTTTACACATGCATCCCAAAACTGAAGCCTCGGTTTCCAAATGGGATTTGCTCTTCCTCTTCTTCCCCACCGTATAATCTTTGCTTTGCAACGTTGCTGCTCTTCAGTGGGCAGCGACCCGCGGGCATTTTATCAGTAAATCCACAGGGAAAAAACCTTCGTCCCCTTTTAGTTCCTCGGGGAAAAAATTCCTTTAAGGACTTTTGGTGTCAGAAAGACAAGGATTTTGTGGCTTACGGTTTTGAGGGCTGGAAAGAAGAGATGATAGAAAGAAGAGAATTGCAATGAAATCTTAAGAGAGAGAGGTTGGATTAAAATTGCATATATAACTGCCAAAAGGAAGATCAGAAGCCACTTCTTTATATCGTTTTTTTTTTCATGTTTTCTCTTATTTTCTTTTCGTTCCTCTGTCTTTCCTATTTTTCTTTTTCACGCTGACTTTTTTCCCTTTTCTTTGAATGTATTGTCTATGTAAGATCTTTTCATAAAATCTATTTGAATGAAGGGGAGGGGGAAGCGTGCCATGAAGAGAGGGCTGTTTGCTAAGCAATCTTTTCTTTCTGCCTTTCCTCCTTAACTCCTCCTTCGTCTTCCTCTCTCCTCCCTCTGAAACATGGCAGCTACGGCTTTGGCGAAAGTCTCCCGGCTGAAAAAACCTTCCGTTGGCCAGAGGATCCGGGGCCAGGCCGTTCCCGCATCGTTCGCCCCTTTTTCTGCATGGACAGGTGAGGATCAGCGGATTTATTTTATTTTGGGGGGTGCTGCGTAAAGGAAGGGCCAGCTCTCCGGCCCAAAACGAGGCACTCCAGCTTCTAAAATCAAACCTGGATCCTCTGAACCCCGGTTGGATGCTAAATTCGTCAAGATGTTCTGAGCCCAAGAACACGAGTTGGGGAAGGGGCTCGTTGCTCATGCTTTTTGAATGCAAAACCCCCCTCCTTCCCCCCCCCCTTATTTCTGCAGCATAGTTTTGAGAAAAGGTGTTTTGGAGCAGAGGTGGGTCGAAAGATCAGTGGGAACGAGTCAATCGGAGAAGGTTAGGGTTAGAGATTTCTCACCCCCAAATTCTTCCTAATTGTTCCAGCACTGTTGGATCAGCAGAAATGCTCCGCTGGTGATTTTTTTTTGCATTTCTGTCATTCGGTGGATCCCGGTTTTCAGGCGAATGCCTTTCGCACCAAGGCGACGGAAGCAAAATTGTATTTTATCCCTGAAGCCTTCAGGGATTTAATTAAGGTCCAAAGGCAGGACGGCGTGCGCGAACAAAGCCGTTCATTTATGAATTGGCTTCCTTTCTTTTTTTCTCCCCCTTAACAAGACTTTGTGGGCGCGTATGGGCTTTCGCAGGTGAGGCAGGAAAAATAAATAGCATTTAAAACAAAGCAAGAGCAGGAAGGGTTAGACCTTTAACATGCTGGTTTTGTGCATGGGAAACGTTGCTTTGTCCAAAAGCGAGGGGAGCACACATGGGTGTGTGTGTTAATATTTATTTGTTAGATTTATATCCTGCCTTTCACACAGGAGCTCAAGATGGGGGGCGAGCACTCCATCCTCCCATTTTTCCCCACAACAACACCCCTGTGAGGTGGGTCAGACCTCAATGCCACCCCAGGAGCTTCTGCAACCGAGAGAAGGACTTCAGTAGGATTTGGGTTTCCTCCTTCCGCTCCAACCTCTTATTTTCAAGCTGAGTTTCTGAGTTCTTAAAAATCCCCTCTCCTTGGGTCTATCATTGCGGAGCTCCGGTTCCCATCCTCCCTGCCCTTGCTGGCCGGGGAGGATGGGGACAGGGACTGGGATCCCTGAGGTTAAAGGTAGGGGTCAGCCGTGGCGAGGGTCTCTCTTCCTCTTCGATCCACGGATTGCAATCCTGAACCAGCTTCATCAACTCAGCCAAAGGCGAGGGATCAGCTCCTTCACGACATTTCGAGTTTCAAGGGCTTGGGAAAAGAGGGGCAGCCTTGTTTGGCTCCTCGCCGTGGGGTGGACCCCTTCACTTTCTCCCCCCCCTCCTTGCAGACGACCTGCTTCAGCACATGGACCAGCGCGACGCTTGGGACCGCTTCTACGCCAGGAGGGGGAGAGCTGGGACCCCCTGCCCGTTTGACTGGTTCTTTGGCTACAAAGAGATCTCGGCCCTTCTCGGCTCCATTCTCCGGGGGCTGCCCCATGGCCGGGCCCGGATCCTGGACGTCGGCTGCGGCACCTCGTCCCTGGGGCTGGAGCTCTACCGGCACTCGCCCTCCCCGGTGCACGTCTCTTGCCTGGACTTCTCCTCTCCAGCCGTCGAATGCCTCGCCCGGCTGTTGCGGGACAGCCCCCCGCCGTGCCACCCGCTTTCCGAGCTGGATTGCCACCTGGGCGATGCCACCGAGCTGTCCCGCTGCTTTGCCCCGGGGTCGTTCCACTTGGTTCTCGACAAGGGGACCTGCGATTCGGTGCTGCGGGGCTCCCCACTCCGGGCCAAGCGTTTAGTGGCCGAGTGCCTGCAAGTGCTGAGCCCGGGCGGATGCCTGCTCCAGATCTCCGACGAGGACCCCGATGCCCGGGTGCCGTTCCTGGAAACGGCCGGCGGGGCCCCCGTCAGCGTCGGGGAGGTTGCCCACCTGAATGGCATCTCGTACTACGCTTACACGCTCAGCCGAAGGGCTCCAGACGCGTCGGAAGTGGCTCGGCCCACCGAGCCTGCGTTCGAATCCCACCGGCCTGGGGCGTTGAGTGAAATCTAGCAGGAGCCACAACTCCATAAAGGCCAGTCCTTTCCTTCCGAAAGCTGTCCTTTAGATGGATTTAATTTAATGGTTTATTTTCTTGGTTTGGGCTCTTGGGATTTCCCTTTGGAGAGCAAAGCTATAAACACAATTTTTTTTTTATCCTTATAAGCCTCTCTTGAATTGGCTTCTTTTTCAGGTTTGTCCTTTATATTTTATTTTATTTTATTTTATTTTATTTTATTTTATTTTATTTTATTTTATTTTATT